TCAGGACACGTGGAATGCAGGACCAGGTGTTGGCATAGTGATACCAGGAGGGTAGAGGGAAGGTGAGGGGAGTTGGGGCCTAAGGGGGAACCAATGAAAATGATTGACACATTAAGGCACACACCCGGGGGTGAAATATGGGTGAAGGGAGACAGTGGTCGGTGTAAAATATGAAAATAATATTAATTTTTTTAAAAAAGAAAAGAATAATAATTTATCATTTATCAAGGGGTTATGAGAGTGGAGGGGGGAGAGGGAAAAAAGAGGAGCTGATACCAAGGGCTCAAATAGGAAATAAGTGTTTAGAAAATAATGATGGCAGCATATGTACAGATATGCTTGATAAAATTGAAATATGGATTGTTATAAGAGCTCCCTCCCAATAAAATGATTATATATGTATGTATGTAAGTATGTATGAACACACACACATACATACCTATAAGGCGAAAGCGGTGTGCTCATTTACTGTTTGAACTTTCTGATGCTGCTAGGAGCCCTGGTGGCGTAGTGGGTTATGCACTGGGCTGCTAACTGCAAGGTCAGGAGTTTGAAACCACCAGCTGCTCCACGTGAGGCAGACAGGGCTTTCTACTTCTGTAAAGAGTTACGGCTCCTGCGGCCCACAGGGCAGTTCTGTCGGCCCTGTTGGCATCAACAGGAGGCAGTGAGTGACTGGGCTCTGGGCAGAGCTGTCATTATGGCCCGATTACAATGATACTTTGAGTCAAGTAGTTTCTTGGATGACCATGAAAATTTGAATAAAGTCGTTTCATGGATTATTACGATGCTTTGACCCCCTTGGCTCTCTCGGCTGCGGTGCTTTTGACTCGCCGCTCCTGCGGAATGTTCTAGTGCTTGCGCTAGAATGTTGTGGCAATTGGTGTTCTGTGAACATATGTAGATAGCCTTTTTCAGAATGAAGTCATTATTAAAGAAAAAGGAGAAAAGTCTTTAAAGCCTCTTGCTCAGTTACTAATAATGTGACCAGGAAGACTGTGATTCAATGCGGACTGATTTTACAGGGAAGTTGCTATGTTGTTAGTGCCCTGGTTGGTTCCAACCCCCATTACCCTGACACACAGCTGAGCAAAACCCTGCCTGGTCCTGTGTCACCCCCCCAAGCGTGCCTACCCTGAGCCACGGCGGCAGCCGCGGTGTCGGTTCGCCCTGTTGAGCGCCTGTCTCTTTTCCACTGGCCCTCCACTGGACCAAGCACGATGGCCTGCTCCAGGGGCCAGTCTCTCCCGATAACCTGTCCAAAGTCCGTGAGGGAACTGACGATGGCATTTGCCCTCTTGTTCAGGATCAGGATCAACCATGGGAAGCCGTGTGGCCTGGCACAGGAGGAGGTCTGTGGTGAGGTGCAGGAGGTGATATCATGGGGGACCCCAGACCGGGGGATGCCTCTAAAAGTAAACACTAGCCTCAGTCCTCAGGCCACTTACACAAAGACCTGATAGACCGAGTGCTCCCCGAAATCCGAACTAGGTCCGCGCTGCTTGTAACCTCTCTATATGGGATGAATTATGCACGTGTGCGTGGGTGTGGAAGCCCAGTCAGCCGCTCTCGGACAGGGAA